TTCATTTTTAAGTATATTTATTGACATCAAGATAAGAAATTACAGTCTCCTCGGTATCCATGGGGAATTGGTTCCAGGATCCCTTGGGAGTATCTGAGGATGCTCAAGTCCCTAGTATATAAAATGGCATAGTATTTGCATATAGCCTATGTGTATCCTACCATATACTTTAAATCATCTCTAGATTACATTTGGAACCTAATACAGTGTAAACTCTATGTAAACAGTCGTTACACTGCATTTTAAAATTATTATTTTTGGCCAGTTGTGGTGGCTCGTGCCTGTAATCCCAGCACTTTGGGAGGTTAAGGTGGGAGAAACACTTGAGCCCAGGTTCGAGACCAGCTTAGGCAACATAATGAGACCTCAACTCTACAAAAAATAAAAAAATTAACCAGGCATGGTAGCGTGCGCCTGTAGTCCCAGACACTTGGGAGGTTGAGATGGAGGTCTGCCCAAGCCCAGGAGGTCAAGGCTGTGGTAAGCCGTGATAGTGCCACTGCACTCCAGCCTGGATGACAGAGTAAGACTCTGACTAAAAAAAAAAAAAATTATTATTTTTATTGTTGTGTTGTTATTTTGTATTGAGTTTTTAAAACATTTTTGATGATTGTTAGAATCCACTACCAGATGTGGAACTGCAGATACAGACGGCTGATTGTACTCCAAGAAAACAGAAGACTGAGCCACTGAGATGACAGAAAAGCATATAATGAAAGTTTTTTAAATACACAGATTATCAGGAAATTGCCACATGGTTAGCTTTCACCTTGTATTTCAGATTCTGGAAATTAGACTGAGGAGGATTTGTCTTTTGTTTCTGCTGACCTCCACATAATAATGGGGTTCACAGAATATACAAAATTAAGTGAATTTATGTCTGAAGCAGAAGAAAGAAGAGATTTTTTTCATGTTTTTCAGAAACCTACACCTTTTATTACACATATAAAATATATTTTATTTTTATTCTGTTCATAATTTTATTTCTTATATCAAGAGCAATTTGAATATATCAATTTTTTCTTGAAATTTATTTATTTATTATAGAGTATAGCATGCAAGGGAGGATTTACTACATAAGTAGGCTGCATGTAGGTGAAGTTTGGGCCATAAATGGTCCTGATGCCCAGAAATCTACACTTTTTTGAAGAGTGGTATGAATATTGTAAGCACATTTTTAAATACTTCAAGATAAAGCTATGTGGATGTTTTGCCCTCTTGGCCTTGCAGAATGTGTCACCTATAATTGAAGTTACATCGTTCAACTGGAAAATAAAAGATAAAAAATTTTTAAAATCTGTAATCATCCTTTTGTATGTTAGGTAATGGATCCCACAGAATATTTTACTTAAAAGTGATTTTGGCTAAGTAACTCTCCAGGAATAAGAGTTGAAATTTCTTAAATCTTTTGATAAACGGCAGTGTTGTTTAAGTGTATCTTGTCATTTTGTTTATTGCTGCAATTTAAGAACTTTATTTAAAAACAATGTTGGAAGTTTACAGGGTACAGATTTTGGAGCAGTAACTGAACTGTAGCCAGATGGCCAACAGGTAAACTACATGACTAGGAGTACTTGTGTATTGTGTATTTTGGGCAATTCAAAGTACTATATTTTCATTGACTATAAAGCTTCCTTTGCCATTTTTTTAAAAAAGAGATTTTTAGATTTTTTATATACTATGTATCCTCACAGTAATAAAACCCTCTCTCTGTGGGAAAATGAAAGCGTCAACTAAATTCTGCTTACAAAAGAGATACTTTAAATATAGAGAATACTGTGGTTAAAAGTAAAAGAATATAGAGGTACACAACACATACACTAATAAAAAAAGTTGATGTGGCTATATTAATACTGAGTATAGTAGACTTTAAGAGAAGTATTACCGAAAAAAATAAGATATTTTACAATGATGAGAGTCAAATCAATAAAAAAGCAGAGCAATCCTATATTTGTTGCACTTATTAAAATACTTTCAAGTTATATACTGTAAATCTTAATGGAATTCAGATAAAAAAATAGACAAACCCCCAATCACAGTTGAAGATTTTAATATACAAGTTGGGTATCCCTTACCCTAAATACTTGGGACCAGAAATGTTTCAGATTTTGATTTTTTCTCAGATTTTGGAATATTTGCATATATATAATGAGATATCTTGGGGATAGAACACAAGGCTAAACATAAAATACATTGATGTTTCCTATATACAATATGTGCATTGCCTGAAGGCTATTTTATATAATATTTTAAATACACATGTGCATGAAACAAAAATTATGTACACTGGACCACCAGAAAGCAGAGGTGTCACTATCTCAGCCACCCACAAGGACAATCTCTAGTTGTTGGTATCATCTCCATTCCTGACTCTGAATTTATATACTACCAATAAGCAATCATTTATTGATACTTATTCACACAAAAGTACTTAACAGTAAATGCATAACACACCGTTAATACACTCTACATACCATGCAGGGTTTTTATGAAAAGGTTAATGGACACCGTATTTTTTGTTTTTTAAATGAGAAGAAACATCAGACACATTGGGATCAGGAAGTGGGTCCTCTAGGGATAAAGGGCATTCTGCTAGATAGTTTTTATTTTTTTTATTTTTTTTTTTAATTAATCAGTATTTTTATTATAGTTTTGTGGGGTACAGTTAAGGATTAGGTGTACAACTACGTTTCATTCAGACACCCTGTTGATAAGAGGTGTTTTCCCAGCCCCAGACAGATATTTGCTACTGTTAATCCCCTCCCCCTCCCCCCCATAGTTTCCCAGTACTGTCAGTCATTTTGTTATAGTATTACATTGGATGTTCAAGGTCCATTATATGAGTGAGAACATGTGATATTCTGATCTTTGTTTCTGTGTGAGGTCACTCAGTATTATAGACTCTAGTTCCATCCAGGTTGCTGCAAAATTCATGATTTTGTTCTTTTTTATGGCTGCGTAGTATTCCATCGTGTATATGTACCACATTTTTTTAATCCAGTCCTCTTTTGATGGGCAGCATGGTTGTTTCCAGGTTCTTGCTATTGTGAACAATGCTGCGATAAACATACGTGTGCAGGTATCTTTTTTATAGAGTGATTTGTGTTCTTCAGGGTATATTCCAGTAGGGGGATTGCAGGGTCATATGGAAGGTCAATTTTTAGAGCTTTTAGGAATCGCCACACTGCTTTCCACAGAGGTTGCACTAGTTTACACTCCCACCAGCAGTGTAGAAGTGTTCCCTTTTCACCACACCCTCTCCAGCAGCTGTTATTTTTTGAGTTGTTGATAATTGCCATTCTGACTGGAGTTAGGTGGTATCTCAGTGTGGTTTTGATTTGCATCTCCCTGATGATTAGTGAGGTTGAGCATTTCTTCATGTGTTTGTTGGCTTCTCGAATGTCTTCTTTTGTGAAGTGTCTGTTCATATCTTTTGCCCATTTTATAATGGAGTTGTTTGTTTTCTTCTTTTCAGTACGTTTCAGTTCCTTGTAGATCCAGGATGTTAAGCCTTTGTCAGACCTAGAGTTGGCAAAGACTTTTTCCCAGTCTGTAGGCTGTCTTCCTGCTCTCTTGATGGTTTCTTTGGCTTTGCAGAAGCTTGTCAGTTTAATAAGGTCCCATTTGTCTATCTTCTCTCTTAAGTCCTGTGGGTTTCGGGTTTTGTACAGGAATTGGATGCCAGTTCCGATTTCCATGAGAGTATTTCCTTCCTTTTCTAAGGTTCTTATGGTTTGAGGTTTTACATTTAGGTCTCTGATCCATTTGGAGTTAACCTTTGTGCATGGGGATAGATAAGGGTCCTGTTTGTTTCCTCAGCCTGGTGCGGTGGCTCACGCCTGTAATCCCAGCACTTTGGGAAGCAGAGACGAGAGAGTTGCCTGAGTCCAGGAGTTCAAGACCAGCAACTTGGTCTTGGGCAACTTGGCAAGACCTCATCTCTACAATAAATCAAAAAAATAAAAATAGAAAAAAATAATAGCCAGGCCTGGTGGCGCGTGCCTGTGGTTCCAGCTACTTGGAAGACTGAGGTGGAAGGATCGCCTTAGCCTAGCAGGTTTAGGCTGCGGTGGTGGTGAGCGTTCCACTGCACTCCAGCCTGGGCGACAGTGAGACTCCAACTCAAAACAAAACAAAGCAAAATTTCCTCTAGAGTCATCTTACTCAAACAGTTTTTGGCTTAGAAGTCTCTCTCTGATTTTATAAACTGACATAATTTCATGTTCTGTTATGAATGCATGCTGCTCTAGTCCGTCAATAAGCCCATCCCATATTTTCACCCTGTCATCTATAGGCACTTTTTCTGCAGTGCTAACATCATCTTTATCATTGTTATCATAACGACCATCTTAATTCAGAACCATTTCAGCTGTTTCACCATTAATCAATAAACGAACAACTGAAACCTCATTACTGACATTAAAACTTTTTCAAAATCCATTTCTTACAGTTTATTGATGGACTCTGAAGGTATATGTTTTGCAAATGTTAGGAGGTCAGACTTTTTCCTCACTTGACATGCAGAATCTTCCAAAGTTACCATCTTGTTCATCATCATCACTAAACATAGTTGCCGACTAGAGACTGTACCGGGCATGTACAACTGTGTCTTTAATCACTGTATTCCAAGTGTGGGCAACAGTATATTTGACGTCCTTCATGCTAAACTTTTTTTTTTTTTTGAGTTGGAGTCTCACTCTGTCGCCCAGGCTGGAATGCAGTGGCACACTCACGGCCACTTCTGCGTTGACCTGCTAGGCTCTGGCTGTCCTTCCACCTCAGCCTTTCAAGTAGCTGGAACTACAGGGGTGCGCTACCATACCCGGCTAATTTTTTTTTTTAATTGTAGAGACGAAGTCTTGCCAAGTTGCCAGGGATGGTCTCGAACCCATGGGCTCAGGCAATCCACTCACCCTGGCCTCTCAAAGTGCTGGGATTACAGACTGAGCATGCTAAACTCTTTCTGAAAACCTTTCACACCTATGCCTCGGATTACTGCTACCAGCATGCTGTTCAAGAAAGTGTTTTTATATTTTACTCTTCATTGATCTTCACAAAATGTAGTCTACGCTGGAGGAGCGAGAGGCATGCTGCTGGAAGGATGATGACCTCTCCCAGCCTTCCCTGGGCATTTGTCTTCCCATGTAGAGAAAGATGTGACTGCAACTTTTCCGAAACATTTCTGAGAGGTATTTCTTGAACTTCTCACCCATGAAAGCATAGATAATAGGATTCACACAGCAGTGAGTGAAGGAAATGGTTTCCGTGACATGGGTGGCATAGATCAGCTGCTGGCTCATGACACATCCATCCAAGACGTGCATGTCGTGCAGGGAAGTGAGGAAGATGGCCATGTTGAATGGGACCCAGAAGAGTAAAGATGTAATGACCACAATGAGCACCAACTTGATGGCCTTGGTCTTGTTGTGGTTTTGGCACCTCTTCAGCTGGTGCAGGATGCTAATGTAGCAGAACATAAGGATAGTAAATGGGATCAACAGACCCAAGATGTTCATTTCAAAGTGGATGAAGATCTTCCACTTCAAAGTCTGTTGATTGTAAAATGAATAACACTGGAGAACGCCATCATCGGAGGCCACTTGGTAAAATACTATTAATGGACTGGTGGCCAAAATGGCAGTCAGCCATACTGCCAGGCTCAGGACTGTACCTATCCTGGCTGTCCTCACTTTTATGGCATACACGGCATGGACAATAGCCAGGTACCTGTCCACGCTCATGAGAGTGATGAAGAACATGCTGCTGAAGAAGCCAATGTAATAAAAGCCAGAGACCACCTTGCACATGACAGTCCCAAACACCCACTGATCCAGCTGATAGTGGGTCTGAAAGGGAAAGGAGAAGACAAAAAGCAAGTCAGACAGGGCCAGGTTCAAGAGGTATACATCTGTGATGCTGCTCAGCTTCTTGCAGGCCACAAGGACGAGGATGACCAGGCTGTTTCCCAGAAGACCAAATATAAACAGGAGGCAATATAAGATGGCGAGAAGTAACTTCTCTCTCTGGGTAAGTTCCCCATCGCAGGGGCTTGAGATGATGTCAGGATAGTAGTAGTCAGTCACTGTTGTCACGTTGGGCTCAAGTGTATAATCCATCAAGGCACCTGGTCACGGAACCACATAAAAGAAATTTATTTCCTAAAAATTTTTTATGTTAAAAAGGATGAGGGGGCTGTTATGGACTGAATCGTGCCCTCTCACCCAATTCATATATTGAAGCCTTCCTCCACCCCCATGTGACTGTTAGGAGATAGGGTGTTTAAGGAGATAGTTAGGCATAAATAAGGTTGTAAAGGTGAGGCCCTAATCTGATAGGACTAGTGTCCTCATAAGAAGAAAAAGAGATACCAGAAATTTCTCTCTCTCTCCTTGTACACAGAGAAAAGACCACGTGAGAACACAGTGAGGAGGCAGAAGTTTGCCAGCCAGGACTTCCAACCTTCAGAACTGTGAGAAGATACATTTTTGTTGATTAAGGCACCCAGTCTATGAAATTTTGTTATGGCCGCCCAAGCTTGTAGTACAGAAGAGTTAAGCAGAATGAGAAAAGCCAAAATTTACAAAGAAAATGTAAACACCTATAGTTCCATTATCCAAAATTAGCAGTTGCTAACGTAATGTCATATTTGCTTTGAGTTCTTTTTTCTTCCTTCCTTTCTTTCTAATGCAATAAAGATGATGCTGAAGTTCCCTTAATTTTCCAACTTATCCCCACACCCCAGAAGCAACCAGTAAAACCAATTAGGTATATATCATTCCAAACAGTTTCCCCCTATACTTTATATCTATATGTTTTCAAAACAATCTATATTACTTGTGTTTACTTTTAGCTTACATAAATGATATACTATCATGTTTTTCATTTTGTATTTTGCTCATTGTTTTAGAGATGTATTTGCATGATACTCACATATTTAGTTCATTCTTTTAATTGCTTTCCTAAGCATCAGAATTAGCTGATTTTAAAAATGCAATAGAAAAAAAGATCCCAATTATACCAGCAACAAAACTTACTAGCATTACTAGGAATAAACCTAATAAAAACTGCCATTCACTTATGTAAAAAAATCATGAAACCTTGTTGAAGGACATAAAAAGAGAATAATTAAAAGGAAATAGATACCACTCATGAAAAGGAAGACTCAACATCTGAAACATGACAGTTCTTCTCAAATGGATATACATGTTCAATGCGATTTCAATTTAGGCATATTATTTTTCCAAAGCATTTGTTTGCTGTACATTCAAACTGCCCTATTCACCATGCTATTCTATAATTTAAAATGCTAAGTAAATAACCAACTTTTTTTTTTTTTTTTTTTAGAGACATGGTCTCACTGTGTTGCCCTGGCTGGAGTACACTGGCTATTCATAAGCATAATCATAGTGCACTGTGACCTCAGACTCCTGGGCTCAAATATTCCTCCTGCCTCAGCCTCCCAAGTAGCTAGTAGCCACCAACACCAGGCTAATTTTTCAATATATTAATTTTATTTAAGTATGTACTCCCAAATACATTTAAATGATACAGTTTTTCAAGTATGGAGATTGTTTTTTAGCCAATATCTCTAGAAACAATAGTTTCCCCCTCTTATATTTTCCTTCCTTCTTGTCTTTTGCAGTTATCTAAAAAAAATAATTATCAGTCCACCTTCCTTCTGTTCTGCTCTCCTAACTTACTAGAAAAAGAGTAGATCCTCAGCCCTATCTGTTCCCCAGCTCTCTCCTACAGACTACCCAATCTACACTTTCCCATGTTCTTTCATTACCAAAATCCATGAGAAATGTTGATAGAACCTTCCTGCCATTTACTAAGAGGGGGCCACTTATTCACGAGAAATACTTCACTTATTTCTTAGAAATACCTGTAGCTGGAACTAAGGCCTTTCCGTTTTTGGTGTTATGATAATATCTATGATAATATCAGAGTGTTCAGACCCGTTTCTAAAGCCACACAGAGGTTGAGGTAAATTTAGTCAGACCTTGAAATAGTATCAGTCTACCTCAAACCCTTTTCCATATTTCTATACCTTGCAGGTGGAGTAAAATCAATCTCATGGAGTCTAGGCCACCCGACGACTTCCTTCCTTGAGAAGAATACTCAGGTGTCCTTCAGTTATCTGACATAAGCACTGTGCCCAGTGCTGTGCCCACTCAGATGCCGGGTGATATAAGAGGTCTTTTCTTATCTCCTTTCCCACTCTAATAGGAGATTGATTCTCTCCCAGCCTCCTGTGGAGAACATGACAGGGCTTGCTCCCCTCTGCCAGAACATGGGCAGCTTCTAAGACATGTGCAGGGCTCACCCCTAACGCCAGACCTCTGAAATATTGATCTTCCCTTTGCTTACCCCCTAGGATATAAAAGTGCCCTTGTCCATGCATGCCCTTCTTTCTCAAAGATACTTTTAACACATACCTTACTTAAAGCCTTTGTTCTGGAGGTTTCAGTGTTGCTAATTCCTTCTTCTCAGAGTCTGCACTTTTGTGTGTGTGCGGTTCAGTGAACAACAGCTCTTCCAGAGGTGTCTTCACACGACAAAGAACAGAGAGAGAGGAGGTAGGCACTCTGGAAGGCTCCACCCATAACCTAGTCACCTCCCAAGGGCTTCAAGTGGTTTTTGTGTTGGTTTTTTTTTAAATTTTTTTTTATTATAAAGATGTGGGGTACAATTCAGGGTTAGGTATACAAACATTGATTATGCAGGTACTCTTGTTGATGAGGTATACCCCTCCCTCCCCTAGCAGTTTCCCGCAGCTTCCAATCCCATCCTCCTTCCCTGACAGTTTCCCATTACTGCCAAATACTTTTTTATAGTATTATAATTGTTCAAGGTCCACTTATGAGTGAGAACATATGGTACTCTGTTCTTTGTTTCTGTGATAGATCACTGAATATGATTGACTTCAAATCCATTCAAGTTGCTGCGAAGTCCATATATTTGTCCTTCTTTATGGCTGCATAATATTCCATTGTGTATATGTACCACATTTTCTTTATACAGTCCAACTTCGGAGGACAACATGGTTTGTTCCATGTTTTTGCTATTGTGAATAGAGCTGCAACAAACATATATGTGCAGGTATCTTTTCTGTAAAATGATTTGAGTTCCTCCGGGTATATTCCCAATAGGGGAATTGCTGGGTCATATGGAAGATCAAGTTCCAGTTCTTTCAGAAATCACCACACTGCCTTCCAAAGAGGTTGCACTAGTTTGCATTCCCACCAGCAGTGTAGAAGCATTCCTTTTTCTCCACATCCTCGCCAGCATCTGTTGTTGTTGGTTTTATTAATGATGGCCATTCTTACTGCAGTGAGGTGGTATCTCAATGTGGTTTTGATTTGCATTTCTCTGATGATGAGTGAGGCTAAGCATGTGTCTGTTGGCTGCCCATATATCTTCTGAGAAGTGTCTATTCATGTCTTTTGCCCTTTTTTTTTTTTTGAGTTGGAGTCTCACTCTGTCGCCCAGACTGGAGTGCAGTGGCCACTCCTGGCCACCACAGCCTTGACCTGCTGGGCTCTGGCGATCCTTCCACCTCAGCCTTCCAAGTAGCCAGAATTACAGGCATGCGCTACCACACCCGGCTGATTTTTTGATTTATTGTAGAGATGAGGTCTCGCTGCCCAGGCGGGTCTCGAACCTGCAGGCTCAGGCAATCCACTCACCTCAGCCCCTTTTGCCCACTTTTTAAAGGGGCTGTTTTTTTTTTCTTTCAGTGCGTTTGTGTTCCTTGTAGATCCTAGATGTTAGGCCTTTGTCAGATATACAGTTGGCAAGTATTTTTTCCCATTCTGTGGGTTGTCTCCCTGCTCACTTGATGGTTTCTTTCGCTTTGCAGAAGCTTGTTAATTTGATGAAGTCCCACTTGTCTATCTTATTTCTTAAGGTATTGGCCTTTAGGGTTCTGAATAGGAATTGGTTGCCAGTTCCAATTTCCATAAGGGTGTCTCCTGCATTTTCTAAGATTCTTATAGTTTGAGGTTTTACGTTTAGGTCTTTGATCTATTTAGAGTGAATTTTTGTGTATGGTGATAGGTAGGGGTCCTGTTTCAATCTTCTGCATGTGGTTAGCCAGTTTTCCTAGCACCATTTACTGAATAGGGTCTCCTCTCCCTGGTGGTTGTTGTTGGAGGTTTTGTCAAAGATGAGTTGGTTGAGGATTTGAGGTTTTGCTTCTGGAATCTCTATCCTGTTCCATTGGTCTATGTGCCTGTTCTTGTACCAATACCAGGCTGTTTTGATTACTGTAGCCTTATAGTAAAGTTTGAAGTCTGGAAGTATGATACCTCTTGCTTTGTTTCTTTTGTTAAGGATTGTTTTGGCTATTTGTGGTCGTTTATGTTTCCATATGAATTTCTGTATTGTCATTTCCAGGTCTGAGAAGAATTATGTTGGTAACTTAATGGGTATTGCATTGAATCTGTAGATTGCCTTTGGTAGGATGGACATTTTAACAATGTTGATTCTTCCAATCCATGAGCATGGGATATTTTTCCATTTGTTTGTGTCTTCTTGGATTTCTTTGAGCAGCGTTTTGTAGTTCTCAATGTAAAGGCCTTTCACTTCTCTGATTAGGAAGATGTCGAGGCATTTTATTTTTTTTTTAATTTTTTTTTTTGTGGCTATTGTGAATGGGATTGTGCTTTTTATTTGGGTCTCTGCCTGCTTGTTGTTGTTGGTGTATAGGAATACAACTGCCTTTTGCACTGTTTATTTTGTACCCTGAGACTTTGCCAAAGTCCTTAATCAGTGCAAGCAGGGTTTTGACAGATTCTCTTGGATTTTCAAGGTATAGGATCATATCATCAGCAAAGAGGGATAACTTGACTTCCTCTTTTCCTATTTTGATACCCCTGATTTTCTTATCATATCTAGTTGCCCGAGCTAGGACTTCCAACACAATATTGAACAAGAGGGGTGAGAGTGGGCATCCTTGTGTTGTTCCAGCTTTCAGGGGAAATGTTTCCAAAGATATAAATTCCCCTCTGAGCTGATTTCAGGGCATCCCAGAGGTTTTGGTATGATGTTTCGTTATTTTCATTTGTTTCCAGAAATCTTTCTATTTCTGCTTTGATTTCAGTGTTGACCCAGGAGTTGTTCAG